GGGCAACGGGCAACGGGCAACGGGTAACGGGCAATGGGCAAAGGGGAACGAGCAGCGCAAAATGGCCAGCTCCCGTTTGATGATACCGGCAGAGGTGTTGAGCCGACCGGGTGGATGGGCATCGCAGAAAGCTACAGCAGCGCAGAAACCGGCTTCCGAATTTCGTCCCCTTTCAAGCTCTCTCTCTCTCTCTCTTTCCATTCCTCTTTCTTTCCTATCTCGCTTCGCGTATACGAAACCTTTTTGACATGTCTACACACACATATACACACACACACGCACAAGGACATTGACGCCGGCATTGATGCAGCCCCAATAGCATTGGAGACGCAGACGTACACGCACGCACAATGTCCAGACAACTCTCACTCTTGCAGGTATACCTTCAAGGAGAGATGGTCCAATTGGAACTAGCGGCAGAGATGATTTATTGAAGAGGCAAAGAGATTATTTGACAGGAAAAAAGCGCGTTTGCGCAAACACCAGCCGCGCTGAACACAGTATGGGTAGACATAATAATATTAATAATCGCAAAACAGTTGCGATTGAGACAATCTTTTCAAGTCAAAGCAACTTTCTGTCAGAAATAGATTTCATTTGTACATTGCCGTACATGCCGACTCTTTTTTTGACAACTCCCCTTCACGACGCAGCAACAGAAACCTCTCTTTGCCCCGTCTCGTCACACCCACTACTACACCCATACACACACACACACACACACATACACACAATCGACTTGGTATGCCTCAGTCTTCTCAACACGTAACTGCCTACTCATCAGACTACTCATTCGCTAATTCATCCACCACAATTATTTCTTTGGCTATTCACAAAGCCGGTCAGTTGACAAATCTATGCAAAGAAAAGTTGGATTGTCAAGAATCTCTTGTTTCATTTCCATTTCGAGTGAAAGTGTTGCGTGAAGAGATTCCAAGGTCGGTTCCACGAGAAGACGACTGCGGATTCCTCTTGACCAGCTGTCGATTGGCTTTACTGGAACATTCTCGTTGACGCTGTCTTCGAGGCAATCTTCTTCGATTCCGGCGAAAACGTGCTCAGCTTTCGTCAGTCATGTGAGAACATCATAAGAGCAAGGTATCATCGTCACAACCAAATCATTTTATACCTGATCGAAGAGGTCAGCTATAGAGTATATATACCGTTTTTGTGGGATTTACCGATAAGTTTTCTTGACTCGTTAGCTTGAATTGAGTTGTGATGAAGATACCTTGCTCTGATGATGTTCGTCATGTGACACGTGATTCCTTGATTCGGCTGAAAACGAGCTGATTTTTCGTCCATCATGTGACGGAGATCATCTGAGCCAGAACTCACACTGAATCAGGAATAACGCCAAGGCTTTATGTTATATCTTATATATACTCACAGCTAAAAAACGAAAATATATAGATATAGATAGGTGGGTAGCTAGATAGATAGATATAGAATACTTTGGATAGTTCACTTTCATATTATATACATATATGAGCAGAAACGAAAACTTTTATATTGATAGAATGATAAATATCCTCCTATCCGTATAAATAAATCGATAAATAAATAAATATATTTTTTTTTCCATAAATATGTACATGAGCAAGAACGAAAATACACCGATATGGATATAAAGATATGGAGGCACTTGC